CTAAAATTAGGATCTAAGCAAATAATTTCAGTGTCTCTCCAACACCCCTTATCATACACTGTAGCACTTTGTAGGAAAGCTGTAAATAAATCAATTTCTCATCAGACTCTTTGTTTCTCAGTAAAATAATCTGTCACTTCCATTTGTGCAACACACCAGTAGATAGATTATTACAGCAGTTAATGCTGGATTTAAATATAAACTTCTTCAAGTTCTTTTGCCTAAGAATTTAACAGAGTATTATATAAGTTCATGCATAATACTAAAAAAATACAATATTAAAGTATTTTTAGTCTTAACCTAAGAGCAAAATAGCACTGTCTCACATAAGTCGACAAATTCACTGCTTACTCCAGCATCTGATCCAAAGTGCCAGCCAGTGAAAGCCTGGCTAAGGAACTGCATGATCCAAACTCAGTGAAAACAGATTCTCAGAGAGAAAGGTACATATTTCAACAGTTTACTCAAGCCTCATTTAGGAACATCTACGCGAGGTTGCAACAACAATTAAAGCAAAATTAGGTTTAGGGAGGCATTATGCATTCACGATGACCTACACTGCCTGTGAGATTACACTGTTTATTAAAAAGGCAGTGTTTATTAAAAAGGAACACCAAGAGCTCCTACTGAACGAACAGCTGTAATCACCAAAGAAATAAAGAAAAGACTAGTCAGAAAACAGGCTTCTAAATGGCACATATATATAACCATTGTTTGTTTAGAAGCTAAAAGCAAGCTTTGGTGATATATACTCACAAACCCATCATGCTTATGTTAAATGATTCACCGTTTGATCAAATGTTTAATTTTAGCAAACAAAATTGAGGAAAGAGCCAGATTGGCATGGCAAGGATCTGATGATACATAAGTGACTGGAAAATCCAGACTCAGAAATAAACTCTGAACTGGGCCTGCACACAATGCTTGGGGCACAGTGTCTCATCACACATATGATGCATGCAGTGTCACAGAAAGGCAGAGCAAATGGCAACATCCTGCAAAAGCCCTGCTGGCGTGTTCTCAAATAATACTGCTATCAGTTTTAGCTGACTATAGTACCTTATAGTTGCCAGAACTAAGATAAGATGAAACTAATCATACTGTGTTTTCAATCAACTTCCTGCTGGCTGCCACCATTTCAAGAATGGAATTCATTTGTTTTACGTCTATTAACATATTTCCTTCTTTTCTGGTTCTAAGGCACTAAATGTAGTGGTATGGTATCAGTCTGGATAATAAAAAAGATAAGCAGCAGTCACTGCAGTACAAATAGAATTGTAAAAGTATAACCCTCTCTGACATGCTCTTTTCACAGTATATGCTACCATCAGCTTAAGAGTCCCTTCCCTTCTATGCATATAACCATTTAACAGTAATATCCCCAACCCTCTGATGGTTTCACTCAAGTGAAACCTTCATGGAGAGCCTTAAAAGCCAAAGGGAAATTGCCAACATGCAGGTCATTAAAGAATCAGCCTCGTCTCTAATAAGCAAAAAGGCTCAATTGGCAGATAACACATCCAGTAATATTTTCATGTATTTATAAAATCTTCAACCTCAAGCTCATATACACCATAAAAGAAAGGCTTCTGAAATCCAGTAGTCTAAGGAAAAATAAACATTACATGATTCTGTGATTCTCTGGTCTGTTAACCAGGAAAATAAGAAAGTATTTTTCCAGGTCATAGGAAGCAGAAGTTAAGTACAGCATACTTTAGATGAAGTAATCTAAAATAAAAACTTGCATACTGAATCCTTTCCAATCTTTGTACACTAAGACTATTCCAATAAATAGTGAGATAGTGTTTAGAAATATTTTGCTCCCCTTTCTCCCTATTTTTATATCTTCAACTTCAGTCATTAGCAAGTAAGTTGCATCAATTTTTCATAAATAACATGAATACTGATGAGGTTTCCCAACTGAGATTATCCGGGTAAGTGAAATGATTTTTTAAAATATAAAGATCATCTAAGTGCTCCATTTAAACTTTACTTGACCAGAAATGACAGACTGGGGATTCCAAAAAAGAAGGGCAAGTCTGCAGATTTAAGGATGGATTCCATGATCTTGAACAAAAGGCAAGCAAAAGTTAGTTGTTGACCTTAAGCAGATGTTTCAGAAGTTCTTAACAGCCTCAGTCAAAAGTATCTTTTTTCAGCTGTTCATTTTTCAGTCTCTTAGATCTTGAAACATCAAGAGTTTAGTAGTTTTCCAGTCTCTGGAGATTGCTGAAATGTAGAGTATCTGAATTTCTAATATAAATCCAAGTCTTTTAAAAGAAGAACCCCTCCAACTTCAATGCAATAGTAATACTAGTCTGCTCCTGTAATCTCTTTGCATGCCATCATTATAAACACATGTCTCTGGAGCTACTTCTATCCCTGTTCAACCAATGGGCAAGCTTTAGCACAGTAACCCACAGCCTACTTCAATTTTAATACTTCTTTCAGTCTTTTCCTTAATGTTTCCTGTCATTGTGGCTTACTGCAGAAAGCATGCACCTTACTACAAATAGTCCTGTAAGCATTACATAAAATCAATTAAAAAAAAAAAAAAAAAAGGTATCATCTTTTATACTTGGTAAAATCTAGACCTTACTGTTTGACCCCCAGACACAGAACTGCTCTGCTGCTTACCTGGCTTGTGCTCATTCAAGAAGAAGTGTGAAAGGTCTCAACCATTACACTGACAGGGACCAGAAAACTTAAAGCTATACTGTTCCTCTACACTACCTTATTTACAAATTCAATGGAAAATACTACATTAAATTACAAGTTTCAGAACTTTTCATAGCTTTAAATGTCCTGGCCCTGTTGTTGGAAAACATGACTTGACAGACATCAAGAAAGTCACAGGTAAGATGCTAAAACATGCTGCTGGTCACAACCCTAGCTGACATCTAGAGCACTAGAATTTCAACTTCAAATAGTCTTTTTGCTATCACAACTTATTTTCTTCAGAAAGCTGGCATAAAACTGTAACCCCTTAGGAACTCCTGACTGCAACTTCAATAGAAAGGCACATCTGCACTGATTTACCAGACAATCCCCCCAAGCACTAGCAAGGCCTAGGTAAATAAGGTCATGTAGTCACTTAAGCTTTTTCAGGACTGAAAAGTGTAGTAATCAACTCTCGAAACTGACAGTACAGTGTTTTTGAAGTGGAAAAACACATACTTAGTTTGCCACTGTGTATTGAAATGCACCTGGCATATACTTCAAGAGACTAAAAAACAGGCTAATTCATTCATTGTATCAGTGGAAAAAGTGAGGGTTTTTGTTCCACACTGCTGTCTTTCAAAATTATCGTACAAAAACACCCCTGCGTGGATGGCACTCTGAAGAGGAAAAAAAAGGAGAGGGCAAAAAAATGCCAATTGATATCTGCTTGTGCAAGGGTAGCATGTTTAAAAAAAATCAGCTTTAAAGGCAATGGGTTTTCTTGAGAGCCTCCTGTAACCATTAAGCAGATCCTTGAACACAAAGCACCAGATTTTCTTCTCATTATCAAAACATGCTGAACTAGCCAAGAAGTAGAGCCGAAAGAAAAAGTTCACTTTCAACTTTCGACAATTCTCCCATAAGTATCACATTACAGAAGTCAGTGCACTGCATTAGAGATAGCAAAACCTTGTTCTCTACTACTTTACAAAAAATATCAGATCCAAATATGGGAGCCTAACAAGACAAAAATAAACAAAATAATTTACTATGTATTTATAATCTGTCTTGCAAGATGACTCCCAACAGGGCCATGGCATTTGTTGCAACTCAAGCTTCTGTCATAACTCAAAAATGTGATTTCATTTAAAATCCTGCCACTTCAATAAACCAACCAAATGTACAGTGACATCACTAAATCACTCTTATTGCATCTCTTTTCTCTCAGCCTCCACTTCCCCAGAGTACCTTAAATTGCATTACATAAATCCCAAGAAGGTACAATCACAGACAAGTGTAAATCTCAGGTGGGCCCTCAAAAGTCTATTTAGTCACATATTCTTTGAATTTTCCATAAATAAGAACATTAGGGACTAATGTTTCTGTGATAGACACTAAAGACGTTTTATGACGATGTGTATCTGCTAGAATACCATCTCCCATGGTACATCTGATTAAAAAAAAAAAAAAAAAGGCTAACCAAAATATCTTCAACAGACACAACCGTAGAGGTGGTAGTTTAGGAGGGAACAGATTTACTCTTTTTTTCACCTTTGGCAAAGAGGAATGACCCCTACTTCCTTCTTCCTAAAAGGGTAACAGTAAGCAGCTAACAAGGGCCTTATCTATTATGAACCACCTCGCTTTCATAAGGTGGAGAAAGTATGTTTTTGTCCTTAGCCTTTTTCCCTCATTAGTTACGCTGCCCTGCGTGAATTGTAGCGACAGCTCCCCGTTCGCGGGCACGGGACAGGGATGTGTCAGGGACACCCGTCAGGGCACCCAGGGGCCCGCATTACTCATCTGCGCCTTTGAGGAGCTGAAGGCAGGCCCCGGAGCGCAGCCCGCAGCCCCAGAGGAGGGGCGGCCTCTCCATGAAACCTGCGTGCCTGGGGAAGCGGTCGGGCCTCCCCCGCCGGGCTGCCGGGAAGGCCGCGGTGTCCGGGCGGCGGGGGGGGCGCCGCGGGCGGCCTCTGCACCCCCTCCCCCTCCGTGCCCGGGGGCAGCGCAGCCACCTCCCCCTGGGGCACCCGCTGCCTCTGAGCCAGGAGCCGCCGCCGACACCGCGGTCCAGGCCCCCAGGGACCCGGCACCCACCGGCATGGAGACATCCCTCTTCCGAGGGGGGGGACTGCCGCGGCCCGCCCGGCAGGGGCCCGGGGCCGCCCCCTCCCCGCGGCGAGCTGCGGGCTCGGCCCCCGCGACAGGCCAGCGCCCGGGGTTACGACCTGGCCTGTCCCCCCCCGCCCGGCCGCGGCCCCCCGCCGCCTCGCCCTTCGCTTGGCCGCCCGCCCCCCTCCGTCCCTCTCCGCCCCAGCCCAGCCCCGGGCCCGGCTCACCCCCAGAAGCCGCAGGGGCAGCGCGGGGGCAGGCTGGGCGCCTTGCTGCGCTCGCTGCCGGCGTCTCCCATGATGGGGCCGGGGCCGGGGCGCGGGGCGGCGGCGGGCGGGGGGCGCGCGGCTCCCGGCCGGGATTCCAGGCCGGTCAGCTGGAGCCGGGCGGCACCACTGGGGAGGCGGCGGAGGGGAGGGTGCGGGGGGGCCCGGCCGCACCCTGCCGATGGGGCGGGCAGGGGAGTGGAGAGGCGGCGACACGGGGACGCGGAGCTCCGTGCGGTGGCGCCGCCCGCCCGCCGGTGCCGGTGACCGCCCTGGTACCGCAGCGGCGCGCGCCCGCCCTCCCCGGAGCGCCGCTCGGCCCCTCGCGCAACAATGCGTGCCCCCCTCCGGCACCGTGGCTCCCCCCGTCCTGAACGCGATGGTTTCGTCAAGCCACCGAATCAGCTGGGAGCGGCATGTACCACAGCACATCCCCGGGGGAAGTTGGGGTAGATCGCGTGCGGGTGCAGGGTGAGAAGCGAGTTTGGAGGGCACCCATAGGCTCGAGAAGAGAACGGGATTCTCAATAACGAATCTCAGGCGAGGCTGAGGCGCGCGGAGCTGCCTGGAGCCGCTGCCCGCTTTTGCCTCTACCTATACGTTGGGCACACAGTGGTACAGCCAGGGCCGGCCGGCAGGGTGGGGGAGTGCCGGTGCCGCTCGCACATGCGTGCACGGGCCCCCGACGCGGAAGTCTGTTGGAGGGAGCGGGTCCCGGGGGGCCGGGCCCGGCCCGTGCCGGGGCTGTCGCTCCCGCTGCGTCGGGAGATGCTTCGCCGGGGGAGGGGATATTGGATATCTTTCACTTGTCCTGGTCGCTGCCAGCGCAGTGTGCCGGGGCTGGGCTAGCTGTGCGCGCCCGGGAGTTCTTCCCGGAGGCTGGGCGGCTCTGGGAGGCTCCGGTGCGGTGCAGGGTGAGGACAGGAACTTGCTCCATTTGGGCTCCGCTTGGAGAGAGGTCTGGAGGGCCCCGAGGGCGACTTTTGGCCTTCTGTTTGCCTTCGTATCCTGTAGATGTCCTGTCCTCGGTTCCCTCAGTCCGAAATAAGGCCCTGTTTGTGTTTGACTTACCCGGGGGTCTCCTCGCCGCTGGTGAGCACCACCAGCTGCGTGAGGACACGGAGCTGTGGGCCAGCCGTGCTGGCCCCATTGCCTGGGACCTGCAAGAGGTAAGGTACGGCAGGGAGGGAAGAGCACAGCGGGCACGGGCATTACTGGCTGCTGCCCTTTGACAGACAGGAAAGGAGAGGGGAATTTCCAGCACCTGGACTTGAGGGCTGAGTAATGGGGATTGTACTTCTGGCACTGGTTTATCCAATAGTATTGAGCAAGTTACAGCTTTGCACTCTCTGTACCTTGGTTTTGTTTGTGAAATGGAAATACTGCTGACGCCCCCCGCTAGAAATTCCAGATCTGAATGGAAAATGTGTGGAAAAAATGCTGATGTGGCATTAATGAAGGTGGAATTTTTATCTATTCCTGACTGCTGTTGCGTGTCTCATACTTTGACTTTTGCTTTGCACTTAAAACCAAAGTTATTAATCTTTGAAGATAATAAACATTCTTTAAAAACTTCAGAGTATGTGAATCTTTGTGAACAACTAATTAATTCTGACAAAGATATTACGACTTTAGTATTAAGCGTCCTAAAGCATCTTCTATCAAATTAATTCATTACAGGAAAAAAAAAGCAATAACAAAGGACATATGCACACATGCTTAAAAATTTTAAATAAAAAGTTGGAATTTAATTGAAATCATGTAAACAGACTTCTTGTGAAAAGGCTGGTTCGTGGCAGTTTACTGATGGTGGTGATTTTATCAAACCGTTCTAGTCTGGGGTTGTCTGACTCCCAACTAATGCAATCTAAAGTGTCTGTGGCTGCAGACCACCCTGTGCACTGAAGCACCAAGCTGTTCCCTGGGAAAGCTCACTGAGGACAAAGCTGACCTGCTGAGGGTACCAAGAGAAGTGGGTACATGTAAAGAAATAACTTTGGCCTTGTTAACTCAGCCCTTCAAGCCACGAAGTCAGCTGGAAGCTGAAACGGTCCCTTGTGCTGGTTACCTGCACTGCTACCAGAGGCTGTAAACTCCCCTCAGATAAGGAGTGCCTTCTTAAAGATGGTCTAATAGGCTTTATGTCTATAATTGCTATTAAGGTAAGCTCCTACGGAGTTAGCTTTCAACTATTACAAATGTGGAGAAGCAATCGCTCTGCTCAGTACTCTTGTGTCATTTCAAATAAACCTTGGCTTTCAGCACCTGGAGGAAGCCTAGAAGAAAGATAAGAGTCTATTTACATGGGCATGTAAGGACAAGGACAAGGGGAATGGCTTTAAACTGACAGAGAGTAGGTTTAGATTAGATAATAGGAAAAAAGTATTTAACTGTGAGAGTGGTGAGGCACTGGAACAGGTTGCCTAGAGAAACTGTGGATGCTCCATCCCGGAGAGTGTTCAAGGCCAGCCTGGATGGCTGAGCATCTGAGCAACTTGGTCTAGTGGAATGTGTCCCCACTCATGGAAGGGGGGTTGGAATTAGATGATCTCTCTTTAAGTCCCTTCCAACCCAGGCCATTCTATAATTTTGTAGAATGATGTTGGAAAAATGTCAAAATTCCAGTTTTCCAAGCCATTCAGATTTTTAAAAACTCTGCAAGAGTGTGGTACTTCAAAGTTAAACACAAGAAAAGCATGAATTTAGGGACAATGCAAACACAAAGCAAACGCTTATTAAGCATACTGCCAATGAAGATAAACAACTAACTGGCCCCTACTAACGCCCTAAGGAAGAATAATCTCAGGGACACACATGTGGTAGACTTCAGGATGATAGTGCAGTTGAATACTATGGGACCCAGAATAGGGGAGCATGTGCTTTGATATCATGCCATGTTTATAATAATGTATTTGGTCTTTTATCTTTTTTTTTTTTTTTATATGACCTTTGCAATACTGGTTTTGTGTATTTGTCGTATTTCCTACTTTGTTTAGACAACAGAAAATTACTGATGTATCAGTTCAGCGTTTCTTGAAAATTCAGTATGTTAATTGGTATCTGCTTTTCTAAACCCTTTAATGTTTTGATTTAATGTGTCATGTGTCTGCTAATCACATCCATCCATTTGCAACAACCAGAACATCTGTTTTTGTGTTGAAATGTGGCAGCAAGGGGCTGAGTGACGCTTCTTTAGAAGCTGGCAAGGAGAAAATTGGTTCAGCTGATCTAAAATTAATGCTGTCATGAACAGAGATTGCAACCTCCATTCAGTGTGCGGACTCTCCCTCCAACAGATCTCCTCTTGAGCCAGGCCTCTGGCCCCTGAGGAGTTTCAGTGCTAAATGACATTTTCTCTGGCTTTTTTGATGCAGAGTCCAGGCCCCGGATGCTTTCTCAATAAAGTACAAGCATCACAGACAAATGGATAAAGAGTACTTAGGAAACATATAGAGGGATAGGTAGCATATTAGTTGGACAGGGCTGGGAATATTCATATGCAGAAAGTTATCAAATGGTCCAGATACAGCAAAGCATGTTTCAACTTTTGGAAGCAAATATGATTGTAAACATGGATTTGGGGGAGGGGGACCTCCTGAATGATGGAAGGTAATTTGGAGAAGAGTGAGGCCTGGAATAATGAGAAACAGTGTAAGTACATAACAAGAGAAACAGCTCATGCAATTTTAGTTCTGTGTATCTGAATGCATGAAAGAGATGGGGAAGGTGCTAATCCTTTTTAATGAGTGACCCTGCAGCTGTTCTCCAGGCATATTTTTTCAGACAATTCAGAGAGTACAGAGAAAAGCAGCCAAAATACAGGCTGCAGATGCAGAAATACTTGAAAAATCTGATGTTTACTGTCTGGCCTCTTGGGGAGAGATTATAACCATACTTTCTTATTTAAAATTGTCAAAAAATTTATATATATTTTTATAATACCAAAAATAGAAGGTATTTGCTAGGAGGACACACAGAATTTCATAAAAAATACGAACAGATGTCTCTAAGGAGATAAATGCTTAGGACATATGCAGAAACTGTTCTCATGATAAAGTCTGATTTTAACCTCTCACTGATGTTCACTTCTAGATCATTCTCAGCAGGACCCCATTGCAGGATTAGATGAGGTAATAAACCTTACAGAATCAGGAGGCAAAACCGAATTTTGAAGTATCTATTAAATGCCATTGTTTCTCAAGAGCTGCCTTTTTTTTTCTCACTATGCTAGAAAAGGTTCTACCTGTATATAATCAGAGCATTTGGGGGTGGTTTATTTTAGTATAAACATGATTGCCTGACTGAAATACATGTGCACAACCATAAAGTGGAGCAGGTGGAGAATGTCACAAGTATTGTACATCTTCCTTCTCATCTTGAGATCTGAATTACCATGAAATTATAAAAGTGACTCGTGATGCCAGTCTGTTTGAGAGACTCTTGAACTGATTGAAATAATCACCACTTTTTAATTCCTCTTCAGTAGGCTGATATTCTTAGTGAAATCTTTTCTTTTGGAAGATCATTCTTGTTAAAACCTGTACTGAGGCTGCGAAATAAAATGAGTATGTGGGAAAGGGCAGTGGAGAGGACATGTCTGAGCTCTAGCCATAGCAAACAATAAAAGTGAACAATTACGGTGATTCACTAGAGCCCAGGGCACGGACTGCACACCATGAAGGCGTTAACCTGCAGCAAGTCAGCAACATAGATCTGACCCTGGAAAAGGTGACTGAACTGTGCCAAAGGCTGCCTGAATCGGGACAGCACTGAGGCTGCCAGGCTTGCAAGTGCCTGCTCTTTGCTGCATAGCTCACCTCAGTTTCTCCATTTGAAAGGCATACCTTGGGTTTTGTATGCACTTGGCCTGGCAGGGTGTGATCCAACTGAATGCCTCAGCATTTGCTTATTCATTTAGTTTAAGTTAGGTGTCAGTGCAAGCTGTCTGAAGAGAGAAATGCCCGCACCTTAGCCTCCGGCTTGGCCTCAATGAATCCAACTCAGTTTTCTTTGCTGCTCGAAGGAAATCTCCAGATTAAAGAAA